ATATATACGCTAGAATTAGCTGTTTCTCTCTGCTGAATGATGATAGCTCAGTGGTAGAAATTCTGATTGAAGCATTCAGATGTCTAGTCGCACTGAGGAGTTGTGATACAACGGAGCATTAGTGTCTGTGAATGAATATATATATATATATATATATATATATATATATATATATATATATATATTTAAAATGTCCACCTTCACAATACAGGAAAATTGTTGTTGACAACACCAATATACTGCACCATGAAAGTAATAAACAAAACTTCAAAGTATCGAGGCCCTCCATATACAAAGCAACCAACCAACACTGAAAAAAATATATGACGAGTATAGTAGCAATGTTTTAAAGTTTTGAGTTGGCGAACATTTACTACCATATTGCATTTTAGCATCTCTGGTCAACTCCCTTCCAATTTGAACGGACGTTTACAAAACATCGATAGCACAAGGGTTAATTTTAAAATAATTAAAACCGAGCGTGTTCCTGCGTGTATTAAAAAAATCCCCATCACAACGATTACAGTTACATTAAATTTGTATTCGCAATTCAGAACTCAGATGAGATCCAAAGTACATGGGTTAACAAAAAATACGGCTTTTTCCTTAATAAATTCCAACTTAGCATCAAGAAGATAATTTGAGAACTAGAAAGGATAATTATAAAAATAAATACACATAATATGTCTATATTATTTAATGAAATATGCTTGAATGAAGATACGCTGCCTACGCACACATCTGTGCCAAATTTTGTTTGTTTTAATATTCATGCTTGCCGATTGCCACCATTTTTCAATCAATGCTGATGATTTTGATAAGAGAGGTAGCATGCACCGAATGAAATCATTTCACTATGTTTGGCAAGTCTTTTTTTTTCGCTCTAGATTAAATAGAGGAAATATTTAACAAGTCGAGTAAAAAAGAACACAGATTTTTGATGTGAGGAAGATACGATTAATCTTTTTGCTCTGAGCTGGTGTGCGTGAATGTGTACGAGTCAGGTGTCTATTTTCGATTTAGGTTATGTTTGTTTTTCTCGATGTGCAAGAGAGTGCTTTTTTTTTTTTTTAAATGTGAGAAAAACGGTATGAATAAATAACTTCTATCAAGTGCAACGTATTTTGTCGCCACGCACCTGAACTGCTGCCTTAGAGAAAAAGACGTTGAAAATATTGTAAGTAAAATAATTACAGTCACTTAGACAGTGTTTATGCCATCGGGTGTTGGGAGAAAATGTCGTCCATCAAAGAGAAAGTTTTTTTTCTTCTCTCTTTTATTATTAAGAAGAGGAAAAAAGAAAAGAAAAAAATATAACGAGAAAGAAAATTGAAAGATAAACAAAAAAAAAAATTAATAAAAATATAGAAAAGCAAGATAATATTTAATAATGTTATTAGTTTGATTAGCAATGGAGGATGTACGGTTGGTCAGAGACTCGGAAGGAAAAGCCGGATAGCCTAGGTCGAATTCTAGTCCAGTTTGCTATATCCACTTACCTTGAAAAAGGCATGAATCCATCACTTCACTCAATATGGGTTAAATAGCAGCACAAATTGGTCTCTCCTCCTGCGGTTGGAATCAATCTAGGAAAAATACAACTTTGGATTCAAAACCCTAATTGACCCTGGCGCAACGATAAACGATTTATTTTTAATCAATTCACCCCAAGTTAGGCGATAATGCCACTAAGACTATAGGAGTGAAAGTGAATTAGAAAACTTTAGAAGGAATCGGAAACCCAAAACTAAACAGGAAACAAGGCATAAACCTCTAATCCAATTCAAGAGACTGAGGGGGGATATGGACCGGATACCTTGCGTCACAGATAAATATATAAATTTAAAGTGCCACTGGACAAGTTATTTTATATATACATAATTAAGCTCTTGAAAAATATGTTTCAACTGAGCATTGTTGAGAAATAAGCTGATTCTATAAACAACAACCTCTTGCACTAATGCAATGCTCTTCAGTAAAATGAATTGGAGCCATCTGACTGATTGGCATTTGTTTACATTCGTAAAAACAATACGCTAGAATAAGCTGTTCCTAAGGATGATAGCTCAGGGGGGTAGAAAATAAAGGAGACACTTAATCTGAAGATCGCATAGAGGCGTGAAACTGAGTAATCATGCAGTGCTGATTACTATGTACACACTCTTGGCATGTGTATAAGCTCTCTATTTGATAGTGAACACAATTTCTACGTAAAAATACAAAATTCTACATACTATCGCTCTTTCCTCTCTCTCTCTCTCTCTTTCTCTCTCTCTCTACCTATCTGTCTGTTTCCGATTATTGATATCTATCTATGTTTGTTCAGTTCAATCTATCTATCTATCTATATTTATTCAGTTCTTTCATTCTCTCTATCTCTTTCAGCTTGTGGTATCTATCTATCTATCTATCTATCTATCTATCTATCTATATTTATTCAGTTCTTTCTTTTTCCCTATCTCTTTCAGCTTCTAGTATCTATCTATCTATCTATCTATCTATCTGTGACGTCCCCCCGGTGTCGCTGCGCCAAATGTGACGTCTGCCTGGTTGCGTCCGTCGTGCTATCCTGTCTTGTGACGACCATCTGGCTTGGTATTGGTCGCGGCACCAAATGTGACGTTCTAACCTTTTGGTGATTCGGATGAGAATCTGGTTAGATTCGGTATCAGCCTTGTCGTTCCCAGCTCGCCTCCATCGTCTGGTTACCGAAGTAACTGCTTTGATTTCCAGTCTAACCTACCCACGTTGTGAATTGATCTTAGGCAGACGAAATCAATCAGTCGCCGGGCCGTACTGCAAGTCAAGTTCGAATAAGGGTGATATCGCAGAAGTATGTGTAAAAGGAAATAAAATAATAACTCGAAAAGTTCAAATGTGTTAAAAGAGGATAACAATATTTTATATATGGTTGCTGAATACAAGACTGCGTCTACTTCTCAACCCGCTATATGGATTCGTGACAGTTTGTGTTTGTTAGGCGAGTCTTAACATCTAAAGTTGTTTGTTCTTTAAGAAACTGGTTCTTGGTGTGTCTTCAGGCAATATTCGTAAAACTTGTTTTGGTGGTATGAGTCTAAGTCGTTCTTCAAAAATAAACTGTCCTTGGCTAGAAGTTGAGTTCGGAATTTGTGCGAATCTTAGTCAGCTTCTGCGAGGCGGGTCTTCAGAGCTTTCAGCTCACTGCAACTAACTGGAACTCGGATTGGTACTGAACTGAACTGGAACTGCTTTTCAATCGCTGCGACTCTGCTTATATGGACGCCGACCAAAACCGGGGTGGGCTTGTCGGGGTTTGAGGTTCCTTGATAATTCCAAACCCACAATCCACTTCTTTGTTTTCGGTCAGGAAAATTTTATTATTTTCCATTTTTGGAAGTCTTTTCGTCCTCCCACCTTCTTCTCTTCTCATATTGGTATCTCACAATACCCTCAGAGGGTGTCAACGGGTTTCCCCTCTCTCTCACAGTGGCATCTCACACCTATCCCCTCAATGGGTGCCAACAGGCCTCTCCTCCTACTTCACATGATTACCTCCGCCCAACACTCCTGCTACCATTCAGCCAATGGGAGCTCAGCGGCGTGGGTGTGGCCAGACTAGCCTCGGTTTAAAAAATCTTGCTCAAAGAAAAAAAAAATTATTTTTTTTATTTTTTCTCTTTTCCTTTTCTTTCTTCTCTTCGAGGAGACCTCACACCCTAGACTCTTTATCTTTAACCGAATTACCTGGAATTCGTCAATTAGCTTTTCGCCATTACCAAGCCGGTGGCCACCCAGACGTACCTGAACTCCTGGCGCCAACCACTGATCCGATAAAACAGTCCCGCCACCACGGCTGAATTTCATATGGAATTCGTCAACGAGATTTTCGCCAATTATCAAGTGGGTGGTCAATTGGACGTTTCGCATTCTGGCGTTATCTATTCCCGATAAAATAATTTCGCCAACATAGCCAGTTTCGACACAAAACAGATGCCTTTTCCAAACGACTTTCCTGTAGATAACTAATGGTTTGGTCTTTTGTTTTTGTAACTCTGTGTGGTCCAAATGGACATTTTCGTTTTTTTTTTTTTTTTTTTTTTTGACGCAGTTAATTTTTATCTATTTAGAATTCTGTTTCTGAGGTTAATTGACCAACCTGGAATTTCAACCCGCCCCGTAACATAAATCAGATTAATTCTGTGTTTACTTTCTCGACAATGGAAATAAAAAAAAATTCTTACCACTTTTCCTTGTCAGAAAAATAACACCGCTTAGTGTCCTTTTCGTGATGGCTTCTTATCACCTAAATTTAATTCTCGCCTCCCTTTTTTTTTCTTCTTTCTTTTTTTTAGCAAGCCAAATAGTGTCACAAATCTATCTGTCTATCTATCTATCTATCAATCTATCTATCTATGTTTATTCAGTTCTTTCTTTCATTCTATCTTTCATCTTGTTGATATCTATCTATCTATCTATCTATCTATCTATCTATCTATGTTTATTCAGTTCTTTCTTTCATTCTATCTTTTATCTTGTTGATATCTATCTATCTATCTATCTGCGTGTGTTTGTGTTTTTTTCTTCTTTATATTCAGACTGTCAACCTTTATGTGAATAACTTTCTCTGAAAACTGCAAGAAATATTCGTCTAACCATCAAAAGTTCATTGAGCTTATGTCCAGTTTTTGGTATTTTTGTTATATTTTTATCCACCCACACCAAATTACCGGGTTTCTTTTCTTCACTCGTTTCCTCTTTCTTAACACGTATCTATTTGATTTTCTCTTGTCTCTGTCTTCTTTGCCAACCACTAATTGAACACGGCGCCATGACTGAAACAAGGCAAACATTTATTTGCAATTAGCAATAAAAATACAATTTGTTTCTAAATTTGCTTGGTCAACGGATCTGTAAAAAATAAACAGAAATATTCATATCGTCATCATCACTTTTGACCAGATATTTCTTTCTTTCTTTCTTTCTTTCTTTCTTTCTTTCTTTATTACAGCCGACAATGA